GCGTGACTTTTCATTGAAAACCGTGCGATTTTCAATGCATAGAGATGTCTATGGGACCCAAAAGTGCGACAACCGGCCAAAAATAGCTCCTGCACCTTTTCGTGTAACAGGCGATTTCGGTCGCGTGACAAACCGCAAATTTGTGAACAGCCTCCATTGACTTTAATGAAATCTGTGTTTTGCGCGTCTCAAACCGCGCGATAAATCGCCTAGGTGTGCACCGGCCATGAACCAACATTCAAAATCCATAGACAGAATTGTGTGAAATCGTTGCATGAAATATATTCAGTGCATCAAATGTCATGCTTGTTTGATCGTTTCCAAGCCACATAACTGTAGGAAAGGACTAGGGCCTTTGTCATGTGTTTGCCCCCTTTGGAGAGATTTCCACTTGTTGTCTAGATGAGAGGGTGTCACAAGAACAGGAAGTGTATAGAAACCTATCCTATGGGTGGAGACACAAAGAAATCCCTTCTTTATTACAGAGCAGGAAGAGTTACATCTTATGTCGGCTCTTTATTGCTAAGAACATAAAACAGAGGAGCCACCAAACTCAGATCCCCTTCATCAGGGCTTCAGGGGAAATTTAAAAGGGAAAACCCTTGATGAATGGATAGTGATGACCAATAGGAGGGCACATGCAGCAGTCAGCAATTGAGGGGATCTTTTTTGCTGTCTGTGTCTTATTGTTCCAGTGAAACCTGCTCCCCTAATTTTTCAGACAGCAATAAACATCTGACAGAAGTTATAACATTTACCCACTATATATCCAAAAAGAACGTTTTGGCTGACATTGAGCTTTAGAGAAGCTTTACAATTTCAAGAAAGTGGCAAATCCCTTAAAGAAAAACTCCGGGCAGAATAAAACTTGGGGGGCTACCCCCGCACTGCAAGGGTTAGGTGCTCCTTTTCGTCTAGAGTGTAAAATAACAAACATATAATCACCCGAACTTCGGTCCTACCTGGCTGCTAGACCGTTCCTCACAGCCCTCCGTTCCGGCAATGGAATGTCCCTCTGTGTCCTTACGTCTCGTACACTGTAATGAACGTGATGACTCTCGAATCCTTAGAGTGCCGGAGTAGAGGGGGAGAGAGGCTGAAGGGACCAGTCTAACAACTAGGTGGGACTGAGGTTCAGGTGAGTATATTTTTTGTTATTTTACACCATAGACCAAAATTAGAAGTTAACCCTTGCAGTGCAGGCTAGCAAGTCTGGACAAATGAGGGTAATGCCAATCTGCTCTCTAAGACCCTCTGCCACACTGCCAGAGACTGAGATGGGTAACATCTGATAATTTACATATGTCCCCTTGCAAATCAGTATCCTCTTTCATAAAGGGTACCATGACAGTCACTAAGACTGGGGCAGACAAACGCTGGATCAGCTTTGCATGGCAACCAATCAGCTTCTAGCTTTTATCTTCAAAGCTTAAGTGAACAAACTGAAGGTAGAAGCTGATTGGTTACTCTGCATGCTGCTCCAGATTCTGTCTGCCCCCCCCCC